CCGCGCCGCCCGCCGCCCGGGCCTTCGCCGGACTCCCACACGAGTGATGTCCTGCAGCAGATCATGGCCATCACTGACCAGAGCCTGGACGAGGCACAGGCCAGGTGCTGCGCGGGCTCGGCGAGGGCCACCCAAAGTCGCTTCAGTGAAGGGGGCGGACCGAGGGGCCAGGGCCGGGGCGGTTGGGTCGTGAGGAGGGTGAAGGGTGAGAGATAAGGTGAGTCTCTGGGCAGAGAGGGAGAGGACAGATGTGAGGGGCTTGAGGAGGACTGAAGAGGGGTTCCGAGGCCGGAAGGATGTATGGGGGTGAAAATGAAACGGATTGAAAGGAGGCTTATGGGGCTCAGTAGTGGGTGATGGGTTTCAGAAGCTCGTCCGGAGGTGAGAAGGATGGGTTTGAGGACATTTTGTGGATGGATAAAAGAGCTTTATGGTGAAAAGTGGTTGCAGGGTTTATGGCATGTAAGGGAGAGAGAGTGTTGAGGAGGCGTAAGTTCTGAGAGATGGGTGCACACGGAATCTGTGAAGAATGGACCACTAAATGGATGGATCAGTGGGATTTACGAAGGTAGGAAGTTTCGAGGGTAGATAATGGAGAGTTAGTGGGAAATAGGACTCGGGAATGTCCAGATGGGTGATTCGATGTGGGAACCATTTGGAAAAAAGGTTAATGGGGGAGTTGAGTGGGGACAGAAGACCCTTTTTTAAAATTAATTTGGCAAATATTTCTTAGACACTTACTGTGTGCAGGCACTGAGCTGGGTACTGACATAGTCATGGCTCTCAAGCTCATGGTTTGAGGGAGAGAAAATAAGTAGCAAAAACAAGTGTCAGTTGTGAGAAAAGTTGTAAGTAAAGGGCTAGCATGCTGTGGAAAGCCAGGTGGAGAGGGTACAGCACCTTCAGAGGCCCAGAGGTGGGAAAGGGTGGGGAATAAAGCAGAACCAAGGACTAAAAGCCCCGAGTAGAGCCAAGAGAGTCTGGAACCAGATCACATGGGGCCTACAAGTCTCAGGAAGGAGTTTGCATATTATTTCAGTTGCAGTAGAAAAAATCATAGCAGTTTTAAGATCACCTGTCCCACTTGTCAGGCAGCCAGGATTGGTAGAATCTACTTTACAAAGCCACGCATTGTGTTTGGGACCTGCTTAAATTGTTAGAAAGTAGGAAAGCACTGAATGACCTCTTTTTGGAGGATGAGGCCTTGTTGAATGGGACCTGTTTTGGGATGAGGGATGGTTCCTGTGGATGGGACCAGGGCCTGGCGGTGTGGACTGGGCAGTGCCTAGAAACTTCTAGTGAAGAGGGGTTACAAAGCCACATGAACAGCAGCCCCAGGAAGGAGGAGGCAATGTAAAAGATGGATATGGCATGCATTTGTTCTTCAAACTTTCTTTCCTTTGTTTCTTGTAGAATGTTGACTCTTTCCACAGTTTCATGGTCTCTTTCTGAAAAGTTAAGAGTGTCACACACACACACCATCACCACCACCACCAGTGGAGCATTGTGCTAGGTACTTCAGAAACCAAGATGGCTAAGATGTTCTCTGCCTTCTCAGAGCTCATTCAGGAGTAGGGTGTGTGAGAGACTAACTTATAAATAGTCATCATAATAGAAGTGTGCTGAGTAGAGATAATTCCTGGCGCAAAAGAGCTGGGCCAGGAGAGGGTCCCCTTCTGTGGTGCCCTGTCTGCTGAGACAGGATAGTCTGAGAGCAAGGACTTCATTGTAACTTTCCTTTGTATTCCCAGGGCTGTGCACAATGCCTGGCACCTAGCATTAGGTAAAGTTTTGTGGCACTTAGATTCTGGATGGATTGGTGGGAGCTGGGAGAGCTGGGAAATGGGCTCTTCACAGTCCGGAAGCACAGTGGCAGTGCACTAGGTGTTTGCAGAGCCACACCCACCCAGTGGTGTATTTCTTCTGTCCTAGGCAAGGAGCTACTCAAGGACTGAACTCTGCTCAGATGTGACCTTCCTCAGGCTTCGGTCACCCCGGCACAGCCCTGAGGCTGCTACTTTTTTCTGGTAGCAGTCTTTTGAGGTCCTAGGCTCCCCAAGATAGGCATTAGAATGGAATGCAGCCAGTCACCCTTGTCTTGGCTGTTCTCAAAAAGACTTCTTTTTCATTTAAGGCTAAGAAACTGAATAGTGGGGCCTTATACTTGCTTGGCAACATAGCTGTTAGGCAACTGGTTCCTGGTCTCTTTCTGAGGTAGAAAGACCCCTGGGGCTTTTATTTGAGACTTTGGAAGCTTCAGATTTGCCCTACTCCTTGCATCATCTTTTAAGTTTTATTTGTTTGTTTGTTTGTTTTTAAGGGTCAGGGCTGTCCAGCTTTGCTTTCCTCTCCCCACCTGCAGATGGCTGTCTCCAGAGCCAGGAAGGCCTATTTTTTTTAGGTAGAGAGAGGTAATTAGGTTCATTTATTTATTTTTTATTATTATTTTTTAATGGAGGTACTGGAGATTGAACCCAGGACCTTGCACATGCTAAGCATAAACTCTACCACTGAGCTATACCCTTCCCCCCAGCATAGCCTTTAGATAAATTCAAGGTCCTAAATGTCACCCAAGCCCAGACACCAGTCTTCAGTCCTCAGGTGGGCCACTTACTCCGCTCTGGAGAAAACACAGCTTGGGTAGATCTTTTCCTCAATAATAAAGTCTGCAGCCTGGTAGATTATCAACTTGGGTGGGGAAGCGGATTGTGTCTTTCCTGATCAGCCGAGTGGGGGAGGCCTCTGCAAGTCTTTCTGACGCTACCCTCCCTCTGCCCTGCCGACCCCTTCACAGCCCCAGCAAGAAAGAATTTTAGCTCAACTGGCCAGCAAGAAAGAATTTTTTGTCTCAGATATTAGGCCTTCTCAACTTGTTTCATCACCGTAATTGTGTTTAAAGAAGGAATGCCCACCTATTCTCCTTAAACTTGGATTCTTACACTTTTCTGCATTATTAAGAAAGCAACTCTAAGCGCTTGTGTGTAATTCATTTTGTCATTATAGCTGAATAGTCTCAGAGTAGAGAACTGTTTGTTGCTCTTCCTTCTGGCTACCCAGATAGTGAAGGGACACTGGGGACTTTGGAATGAACCATTTTGGTTTAAATTCAGCCCAAGTCAGCCGGAGACTTCCTGTGTAAGAGGTAACCAGTCTCCTTGAACGATCTTCTGACCTTCTTTGGCTACAGCCTGAGCTTTTCCTGGAGAAGGGACAATTTTGTGTCTTCTGATTTGGACCTATCACTGATCACATTCTCATTCATTTTTTTTTCTTTTCTTCTTTTAATTTTTAAAATTTTATTTAGGTGGGTAATTAGGTTTATTTATTTATTTTAATGGAGGTACTGGGGATTGAACCCAGGACCTTGTGCATGCTAAGCACACATTCTACCACTGAGCTATACCCTCCCTGATCTTGTTCATTTCTTATATGGGACCCAGAAAGCAGAAAATTTTCTCTCATTTGCCAAGGATTTTTCTGAGTATTTTGCACTATCATGCATAGCCTTATTTTTTTTATAATAATGCATTTTTATAACACTTTACAGTTTGCATAGGTTTTTTTATTGACTTTTTTTGTCTTTAAAAAGTTTTATATTTTTTAGTTATTTTCATTGTTTTTTATTGAAGTACAATCAATTACAGTGTGTCAATTTCTGGTGTACAGCACAAGGTCCCAGTCTGGCATATACATACATACATATATTCATTTTCATATTTTTCAGTGGCTTCTCTTGACTACCTTTTTGAGGGGTCTATGAGGGTTATCAGACTGGGGTTGAGGGCTCCTCTGTCAAGTCTGTCAGGTCTGTTGGGCTCCAAAGATTTTCCCTCCTCCTTGTGGTTTTAACCAGTGTTTGAATCACAGGCCCATTGGAGAATCTGGGGCAAGCTCTGGGTCTTCCACCACCCCCAACAGCATGCTTGTGAAACACACCTCTGAGAATCCACAGGCCTCAAGTGCCCTGGGGCCTGGAAATTGCCACTTATTGAAGGCTGCTAGCTTACTTTCTGCCTAGTAGTGAAATTCCTAGGAAGTCAGTGTGAAAACTCTAGAGCTGGGAATGCTGAGGGGTGAGTTTGGGGGGAAAAAATTTGGGAGGAAAAGGAAGCAGAATGATCAGCAGTGTTGTCCTGGAGCCCCAGGCTCCGTACCTGATGTTCTGGGAGGGGCACCTGGAGAGGGCTGTCCCTTCAAGTCATTCTGGTGGTGGTGTCACAAGGTTGGCAGATTTGGCTCCAGTGGTCACGTCCTGACCCCTCACTTGGAAGTGCATGCGGGTTCTCTGGAGAGCTATTCTGTCCAATACGGTAGCCACTTGCTATGTGTCTTTTTAAATTAAAATGAGTTTAAATGAGATAAAATTAAACACTCGGCTCCTCAGTTAGACTAACAGTATTTCAGGTGCTCAGTAGCCACGTGTGGCTAGTGGCTACCATATTAGTGCAGATAATGAACATATCCCTCATAAAAGGAAATTCTGGACAGCGGTGCTCTAGAGCAGTGCTTCTCAGCTGGACCAGCAGATCTCTGCGGGAACCTTATTGCGTTGCAGGTTCTGATATAGCAGATCTCAGTGGGGCCCAAGAGTCCACATTGCTAATCATCTCCCAAGGGGGCCACTGCTGACCCCAGACCACACTTGAAGAAGTTGGTCTCTCAGGAGTGGAGATGAGAATGTCTCATTTACTTCAATTTTCATAAATCAATTTATCTAGTAGATGGTTAATCTGACAAATGGAAATTATTTTTGAGCCTAAAATGTGTTTGTGGGAATATGGGTTTTAAATTAATCAAAAGGGTCACAAATTAGCATTGTTTTGCCCACTTAAAATAGAAAGAAAATTAGATGAACAAATAAAATTCAGAAAATAGTTGTTTTTTTCTAGATGAAACATTTGATCTAGGGCCACGGGGCCCTGTTGTTTCAGGCTCTGTTTCCATTTTCAATCCAAGGTAATCAGATTTTAGAGGTTCCAGGGTTGTTTCTGTATTTCCTTTACATAGTCTATAAAACCATAGCTCAACTTTGTGTTAGTTTAAAGAGTTTGAGTGTAATAGAAAATGACCACTGGGGAATGGTAATAAGGTTTTTAGAGCAAGA